TGCACTCCAGCCTGAGTGACAGAGCGAGACTCTGTTTCAAAAAAAAAAAAATTTTAAGTAGTATTCTGCTTACTGTCTGGCACATAATAGGCATGCAACTTTGATGAACAAATGGATGAGTTAAGAAACAACATTGTCTTTAACCAAGCTGGGCGTGGTAGGTGCCCCATGAGTCCTGGAAGCTGGAGGACTGGGTAGGGTTTTTCTTACTCACTGACAGAGACACCTTTGAGGGTGGAGGCTTTTCTAAGAACGGTTCTGTGATCTCCAGCCAGGGTTGGGCTGACTATCCTACCTTTCCAAGAATCATGTCACCTTTTTCTGTTGTTTAGATTTCTTCTAACTTGATCCAAGGAAAAAGCTCCTTTTCTGGTCCCTCCACGGTGCAGGTGGGCTTATGCTGCCTGTGAGTGGATATTGTCTTTAATAGTTTTGCCCTTTCCATTTCTACTACCACCCTCTCCTTCTCTACTCCTCTTCCCCTTTGGGTTCCTGAACAGAGCCTCAGACCTGGATAAGACAACAGCCTTCCACCTTCATGACACTGTTGCAGTCTGCTGATGCATCAGTGCAGTATGCTGTGTCACCCTTTTGCTTAGAAACTATCAATGTGTTCCCACTGCCTTAGTCTGACAATTCAAGGTTCTCCACAACTAGCCCTTAATTCCCTCTCTAACCACTTTCCTCTAGTCTCTGGCCAAATCCCTTACTTGAGCCAAATTGGTCCATTCATTTTTCCCAAACATCTGGCCCTCTGCCTTTAGCTCCTTTCTCACTTGTTTAAAAATCTCACTCCAAGATGTAGCTCAAGTTTCACCTCTTCCACAAAGCTGTCTGTGCCCTCTGCAACCACAAGGACTTTCATAGTTTTTCCCCACTCTGGCTCCTTGAGCTCTGTTAGCACAACTCATTTAACACCTCCCACTCATTCCTTTGTATTGCTGTATATCTTGTTCATTTGTTTAATATTTAACTTAAACATTTATAACCTGAGAAGTAACATCTGAGCAGGAAAATTATTTTTATAACCAAAGTAATAAATATACAGAGCAACATATGGAACATTCCCCTCTACTCTTCGCACTCCCATCCCCAAACGTAACCATCCTGAGCTATTTGATGTGCATCCTTCTAGTTCCTTTTCTAAATGTATGTACTGATACATGTTTGGGGAGGGGTTAAAATATAAATGGGCTCATAGCACATCTGTTATTCTGCTATTTGCTTTTTTACTTAGGGTATATACATTTGCCTTAGAGATTTTCTACATTAGTATAATTAGATCTCCTTTTAATGGCTCCTCAGTATTTCATAGTATAATTTCTTCAAAATAAAACATACTGTCTAGAATCTATTATTTGGAGGGTATCGTGTAGCTAGTACCTAGCTCCAGACATGATTGCAACCTCAACCTTGCCATCAGTTAGATGGCTCTTTGGGGGACATAGGAAGGGAGGAATGGGGTATACACAAATAACTGCAACAAAAGGAAAAATGTAATAATGTCCACAAGTGTATGCCTGGGGCTCAGAAATAAGGGAAGTCACTCCTAGCTAAGCGAATCGGGACTTCATAGAGGAGATGATATTTGAGCTTAGCCTGGAGGAAACTTGACAGGTAAAAGAAGCCTATGAGTTCAGGCCGAGAGATGAAAACACAAGATATAGGTTTGTATGATGCCAGACCACAGTCCATGAGCAGGAAGGGGATTTAGCTCAGTCATTTACTGAGCGTTTATATGTCAGACACAATACTAGCAATGAAGATTTGGAAACGAGAAACATGAGGTTTCTGTCTCTCAAAGGCATTGTTTTATAAAAGCCAAGTTTGGCAAAGCGGATTAGGGCTGGAGGACAAGCTTTCAGCTGGGATGTCAGTGAGTTGGAATTTTATTCATGTGAGCAATGTGAAGCCATGGTAGGCTTTTTAGTGGGCAGGTGATGGGACTGAAACTATAGATAGCAACAGTGTACACAATGGTCCAAAGTAGGGAGAGGCTAGGGATGAGGGGCTTATTTTTTTAGACAAAGTCTCTCTGTGTCCTGGGCTGGAGTACAGCGGTGTGATCCTAGCTTACTGCAGCCTCGACCTCCTGGGCTCAAGCAATTCTCCCACAGTAGCCTTCTGAGTAGTTAGGATCACAGGTGCACGCCACCACACCCGGCTAGTTGTTAAATTATTTGTAGAGATATAGTCTTGCAGTATTGCCCAGGCTGGTCTTGAACTCCTGGCCTCAAGCAGTCCTCCTGCCTCAGCCTCCCCAAAAACGATGGGAATACAGGGGTGAGCCACCATGCCCGGACTTTTTCTTTTCTTAAGATAGACGTTTATTTCTGCCTTAGTTAAAAGGTGTCTGGGGCCATGCATGGTGGCTCACACCTGTAATCCCAGCACTTTGGGGGGCTGAGGCGGGTGGATCACCTGAGGTCAGGAGTTCAACACCAGCCTGGCCAACATGGTGAAACCCCATCTCTATTAAAAATACAAAATTAGCCTGGTGTGGTAGTGCACACCTGTAGTCGCAGCTGCTTTGGATGCTGAGACAGAAGAATTGCCTGAACCCGGGAGGCGGAGGCTACCGTGAGCTGAGATCACACCACTGCACTCCAGCCTGGGCAAGACAGAGTGAGATTCTGTCATAAATAAATAAACAAACAAAAATTAACCACATATGCTCATTTGAACCCAGGAGGTGGAGGTTGCAGTGAGCCGAGATCACACCACTGCACTCCAGCCTGGGGAACAGAGGGAGACTTAAATAAAAAAGAAAAAGAAAAAATGGTGAGCTTGGTCTGGTGGCTGATGCCTGTAATCCCAGCACTTTAGGAAGCGGGCAGATCATTTGAGTCTAGTAGTTCAAGACCAGCCTGGGGAATATGGCGAAACTCCATCTCTACAAAAACACATATTAGCTGGGTATGGTGGCATGCACCTGTGGTCCCAGCTACTCAGGAGGCTGAGGCAGGAGGGATCACTTGAGGCCAGAAGGCGGATGTTGCAGTGAGCCAAGATCATGCCACTACACTCCAGCCTGAATGACAGAGTGAGACCACCATCTCAAAAAAAAAAAAAAAGTGGCAGCTGGTTTGAAGATAGGCATCTCAATTATTCACAGCCAGTTACAGATCTAACTACTCTTTCCCCCTTCCCACTACTGTACTTGACTACTCTTTTTTTTCCCCCCTCACAAAGAATGGGGCTTCAAATACAACTAAAAAATAAAGGTGTCTGGTAGGCCAGGGGCTGTGGCTCACACCTGTAATCCCAGCATGTTAGGAGGAAGAAGAGGTGGGCAGATTATGAGGTCAGGAGATCGAGATGATCCTGGCTAATACAGTGAAACCCCGTCTCTACTAAAAAAAAAAAAAAAGGCTGGGTGGGGTGGCACGCACCTATAGTTGTAGCTACTCAGGAGGCTGAGGCAGAAGAATCGCTTGAACCCAGGAGGTGGAGGTCGTGGTGAGCCGAGATTGTGCCACTGCACTCCAGCCTGGGCAACAGAGCCAGAGCTGGCATCGTGGCTCTCCAGTTAGCAAGGACTTAGGCTTCGTGCTTCACCATCCTAGCATGCAGCCGCCATCCTCTTGGTCATCTCATGGTCCAGTATGGCTTCTAGAACTTAATTCATCTCATCTGCATTCCAGATAGCAGACAGAAGGAAGGAAAGGTGATTAGGGAGAGGGAGGAGCACAGAAGGACCCTTTCTAGCTAAGTTAACTCTTTAAAGGGCCTTCTTGGAAGTCAAAGACAATACTTGGAATACTTCTGTTTATGTTCTCTTGGCCAGAACTTAGTCAGTTGGCCATATCCAGCTTTAAGGGAGACTTGGATATGTAGTTTTGTGGGTTTCTTGTTTAACTTAAACTTGATATGTAATTCAAAAACAGTGAAATGCACAGATCCTAAGTATACAGTTTGGTAAGTTCTGCCAAATGCATACACCCATGTAACCTACATCCCTCTCAATATACAGAACATTTCATCACCCCTAGAAATTCCCTCCTGCTGAGGGGACTTTAAAAAAAAAATACAAAAGATAATGAAGGCTTCTTATCCTGAGGTGGGAGGGTTATAGATACGGGAATGGAGGGAAAGAGCTGCAGAGACTGTGGAAGGAGAACCCAAAGTAGACCCACTGAATGTGGGAGATGAGAGAAGAATGAATGCTGGTAGCAGAGCCACTAACAGAAACAGGAGATAGGGAGGAAGTCTAGGTTGTTATACAGATGGGATGGAAGGAAAATGAATAATGAGTACAGTTAAGACCATTGGCCGGGTGTGGTGCCTTACGCCTGCAATCCCAACACTTTGGGAGGCCGAGGCAGGTGGATCATGAGGTCGGGAGTT